GTGTGTGTGGGGGGGTGTGTGCATGTGAGTGTGTGTGTGTGTGTGTGTGTGTGTGTGTGTGCACGTGAGTGCGTGTGTGTGGGTGTGTGGGTGCATGCAGCCATCAAACCCCCAAATCCACCCCCTCACCATCCACCACCCCACGCAACCATCATGCTAGTGGCCGATTCATTTAACATGAATGTCATGAACCAAAGGAACAAAAGAGGAATCCGAATCACGAAGAACGAAGGTTAAAAAACAGCCATTTCGTCAAAATGGACATCTTTCATTTTTTGAACGAAATTTAAACCGAGTTTTTTGGTCGAAAACTCGTCAAAATTTATTGATCCTGAGGGTCCAACGTTTTACAAACGCTGGACCCCCTGGCTATACATAGACCTAGCTTGAGACCAGGGACATCCAGGCAGGACTGCCTGGATGTCCCTGGTCTCAAGCTAGGTTCATGTACAGCCAGGGGGTGTTACAAACGCCGGACCCTCAGGAACAACAAATTTTGACGAGTTTTCGGCCAAAAACTCGGTTTCAATTTCGCTCAAAAAATAAAAGATGTCTATTTTGACAAAATGGTCGTTAAAACAAAAAGACACACAGGACTGGGTACCTCACACGACAACATCGAACGGAAATGCGTTATCCACGCTAATATCGAAGCCCATCACCGAATGAAACAAGTTCCCACGAAGACAACTCTCACAATGAAAGCAATCATCAATTAACTGGATCAATCTTCCGCATCCTATCACTGCTAACACTTCCCACCCTAAAACAGTGATGACACGGAAGTCAACACACTATGTGGCTGCACAAAATATTGGCCACATGCCTTGCCTATCACGAAACCGAACACCCGCCGACATAGACGTGTAAAATCAAGGTGGAGGGTCTACTGATGCCTTCAACGGGGCAGCACACCGGATGGGTCGCCGAAGTAGAAAAGCGGCATGACAGTCGGCTGCCATGGACAGTCAATCAGACTGAATGGCAGGAATTCAGCACAGTGGCTAGCCGGCCCGCACGCCACGTGGCGAGATAACAACATTCCACAGTGAGTGGTCGCGGAAGAAGCCACAGTATTCGTCAACCACACCATCGCCACCTACACACATTCACCGCACCGGCCAGCTGGGTACGCGCCACGTGGCGAGACAAAGACGTGGACACTCGCTGGTCGCCGAAACATCCGCAGACCCGTCGACCGCACCATCGCCACCTCCCCCACATTCACCACACCAGCCAACAGCCTCGTGTGCCACGTGGCGAGACAAACACGTAGGATAATTGCCAGTGGTGGTCGCCGAAGAAGCCGCAAGCCAATCAACTAGTGGCACACCATCGCCACCTCCCACACATTCATCATAACGGTCATCTGCACTGCGCGCCACATGGCGAGACACAAACTTTCGACACTCACTGGTCACCGAAGACGCTGCATGCCAGTCAACCGCACCATCGCCATCTGAACCTGACGTGAGGAATGGCATATGGTCGCGTCTCCAAGCAATCATCCGGTCGCCCAACCACTCCACACCCAATTTCTCCTACCCCCAGATCTCTCCATGAAGGTATCCACGACCAACAAGCGGCGGATCAAGGAACGTGTAAAAAAATGCACCCATGTCCAACCGCCACTCGTGCTCGTCTGCAAGATTCTCCACGTGCTTGAGGACTATATCACCCACTATATCGACAGTCAACATCGCCCAGTCATCCGGGATGAAGCTCCCCACCTTCTTCACCCATAGCAGCATGTGTGACAATTGTCGCTTGTGGTAACCAAGTGCCACGTCAAGTTTCACCGCCGCCTTCCCGTTGACATCCACGGAGTAGAATCGGTACGACTTGAGGTCGATTTCCGGGCCGAACGCGCTTGTGTCCCATTGGAAGAACATGTCACGCTCCCGCCAGCGCTCCCAACACATGATGCTCTCCCCTCGCACAATCTCTCTCCATGCCAAACACGCTGCCATCTCTCTCTCTCTCTCTCTCTCTCTCTCTCTCTCTCTCTCTCTCTCTCTCTCTCTCTCTCTCTCTCTC